ATATATATATATATGAAACTTACAAAAATTGTAATATTTAATGAATTTTAATCAATAAAATAGATTGTGCTAGATCATGTGTTACTAATATATTTTTACATATGAATGATACAACTTGTGTTGCTTTATTTTTAAAAGTTTTAATATATATATATATATATATAGGGAGTATATCAAGTGAGAGGAAATTTATTATGAGAGATGAGAGGGTTAAAATATATAATCCTTAGATTAATCAAGTGAGAGAAAATTTGGGGTTTAATCAAGTGAAAGGAAATTAATCTAAAGGTTATATTTTAACCCTCTCATCTCTCATAATAAATTCCCTCTCACTTGATATGCTCCCATATAAGGAGCATATATGAGGGTTATAATTACACAGATGTAACTTTTACCAAGTATTACACTGCTCAATAACTTTATATTAAATGTGAATTTTATAAATTCAACCGTTAAAAGTTCATATCACTTTATATGTGTATATCAAATTTTATTAAAACTGAACAACAATTTGAAGGCGATCAAAGTGTTCATATTTTAGTATATTTTGAAATGAATATATTACGTCAATTTTGTTTTATAAAAATGAAGTATCAAATCATCTTAGATTAATATAAAATTTTGTATATATGATCTAAGAGATATGAATTTTCAATTTAACGGTTGGATTTACAAAATTCGCATTTAATATAAAGTTTTTGAGCGGTGTAACACTTAGTACCGGTGTTATTATAACCTCCCTCTATATATTTTAGTTTTTAAAAAAATGTATGTAACAATCCAAGCACATCCGAATGAGAGAAATTTAAAGATTGTATAAGTGTGAGATTTTACAATTGAGAATAATTTAAAGAAATTAATTTATACTATTTATATGAATAACATGCATCTATATTTTGATAGTTCATCACATAAGAATTTCACAGTTAATCATACTTAATTAGAACAATTTAAGGATCAATGACTTTCTAAAATGTTTTCTAAAAACCGTGTGTGAGTGAAGATAAAATATGCTAAAAAGTTTTGTATTGATTTGTAAAATTAATTATTGATCTTGAAAGCAAACAGACATTTCAAAAGGAATTATCAACGAAAAATTCTAACTGATAAAAGATTCTAACCATTAAAAAATTATATGAAGTGTGATTATATAAAATGTTAAATATAAATAGCGATAAAATATATCTATCAATATATTTATTTTAGTGAGATAAACTTATTAGCGAGCGGGACAGGCAACCCAACTAAAATAAGTAAAATCTTTGGGGAGCCAAACTGCATATTTTACACTCAAAGATTTTAAGTGTTTTGAACTAAACATTTCCTTCTAATGTATAACATTGAATGTCACGCCTTCTAATTCAATAATATTTTTAAAGTGATACGTGATAGACTATAAAGTATATATCGCTTTAAAAGCATGTATAAATTTTCTTTTCAAGATGATTTTATAATCATTATTTCTATTTACAAAAGATGTTAACTCTCACCACCTAATTTTGTTCAGGCTAAAAATTAAAATACGTATATAATCATACCCTTTGCACTAAAAATAAAAAATACGTATCATATATAACCATGCTCTTTGAGAAGATCAACTATTTAGTAAAATTGTAAAACCCTATTCAAAGTCCCTATATATAACACCCTTTGTATTCTTATCCTATTTTATAAGACCATCTAATGATCACTTATATTAATTATATATTCTTTAAAAAATTCTTATTTAATTAAAAAAATTTAGATAAATATAATAAATATTTAAAATTAATTAGATAAAAAAAATTTCCTCTTTTATTATAAGAATAGACACACATATACATATATATATATATATATATATATATATATATATATATTTCAAACACAATTAGGTGGAAAATAATTAAGTGAAAGGATAGATGTTAATTTAAGATATGCTAAAGATAATTTTTGAAAAATAATTTAAATTATTAATAATATAATGATCTTAATTAAATTAACTAATTTTTTAATAATTTAGTTAAAAAATCCTATAATAAAATATTAAAGTAATATAAAAAAATAATGTATTTATTATTGTTTTTAACATATGTATAAAATCTTATATGAGACTCATAAGAGTTAATTAACTTTGTAAATTATTTTTTTTCCAATGACGATATATATATCATTATTAAACCATAATAAAATATATATCATGAATAATTATGCCGCCAATTGACTTGTGGAGTTTCCATTTGTCGCATTCAATAACCCTTGAGTTAATGGAGTTTACATTACTGAAAATATTCTGAGTCGGCTGACACCAAGTTTTGACATTGTTTGGTAATAATTGCAAGTAATCTAAACTATAAACCCCTACAAAACAAAAGTTATTTTAACCTATTTCTGTGTCCAAATCATTGTGTTCCCTCCTTCAATACTTTCCTCCAAAGGATGAGGGAGAGGATTGATAGGTGCATGTTTTGGTTGTGTGTGTTGTGTTCAAGCCAGTTTCATTTGTTGGCTTAATTTGGATTGCTTTGGTTTTAATTTGTTTGTTTGTTGAAATAGGGTAGGGATTAAGATTCCTATGATTGAAGTCAGGTTTGAGCATTTATCAGTTGAAGGGGATGCATATGTTGGAACAAGGGCACTGCCAACACTGCTCAATTCTACCCTCAATGTAATAGAGGTATGTTCAACAACATACATGAGATTATTTTTTACATGTAGTCCATAGTTTTTTTTTTTTTTTTTTTTTTGCTTTACATGAATCTTCATTTGAAGCAATTCTCATACGGGTTTTTAATGGTGATTTCATTTGTCAATAATTATCGATGTATTTTAATTGACAATTCAATTGTATTTCAGCAATATTTTGAAAGATTAACCCTTTCCACTACATTTAACTCCTTTTGATCTCGTTAATAGTTTTTGAAATATGGAAAAAAAAAAAACACTTATGATATTGTATTTGTTTAGATGTTAGGATTGATATTATATTTAGGAATGTCTATTTTAATTCTCTGAGAGTTTGAAATAATCCTTGAAAATATTAATCTCTATATTTGAAAAAAATTTAAGAATTAAGATATACCATTGCATCTAAACTAAATTAGACTTCTGTTGTTTGAATAATTAATTATCACTGGTGTATTAAACAATTTAGTTTCTTTATATTTTGGGTGTATTTCTTTTCTTCTTCTTTTTTTAAGTGGTCACGGACTCCAATTAATTGTAAATTGATGGAGCAGATAACAGTAACTTTACAGCTCGATCCTTTTGTCAAAGGTTTCCTTTTTAGTCTTGCTTTGTTTACATCATATTTAAAATTAATATTTTATTAAAATATAATTTGTGATACATGTGAAAAAAGAAACTAGCTGAAATGCCGTGGGGTAAAAAAAAACAAAGTTCAAATGTATTTTGTTTTGCTTTATTTGTTTGGACTTAAAAGTTATAATTTTTTTTGAAAAGTATAATTTTTAATATATAATTTTTTAAAAATATATATTTGATGTGTTAATTTATATCATTTTTTTAAAAAATTTTCCAAGCATGATGAATGTGCTTTTGCATCCTTCCTCTTTGTTGCAAATAGGGAGCTCTGGGCTATATCAAGCTTTTGCCATTAAATAAAAGTGTTGTGAAGATTCTCCAAGATATCAGTGGAATTGTGAAACCATCAAGGTATATATATTCTGCACTTTATTTAAACTCACCATGATTTCTATTTTAAATTTATCATAATAATTACTTGAATGTGCATTTTGTACAGTTTATTGTTTTCATAAAGATGGTCGATTATTATTAGGATCTAAACACCTTATTAACACCCATTATTTCTTTTTATCATATCATATCATTTATTATATCTATATTTTTTTTTCTCTCTTTTATGTCTTTCCTGTGTCAAATGGGATTTTGCGAGTCAAAAAATCATTTTGCGAAAATTCAGAGGGCTTAAAAAAATTCAAACGCACACACTAGTGTTGTCAATCCAGAGATAAATTATTTAAATTTAGCAATCACAATACTTACGTGTAGGGAGTGG